CTTTAAAACAGCCAAAATTTATTTAAAATTTAAAAAAAAAAAAAAAAAAAAAAACACCTCTATGGATCCCTGAACTATCCATAAATTTCTTATCTGTTCTTTAAATGTTTTCTTATAGAAAATTGGCATATGGGGATTTAGAAGGTTTGGGTTTTTAAAATTTGCTAAATTTATTATTATCTTGTTTTGTTTTTGGTTTGGTTTGGTTTTTTGAGATGGGCTTACTATGTAGCCTGGCTGGCCTAGAACTCACTATATAGAGCAAACTGGCTTTGAACTCTGTCTGCTTCTGCCTCCCATGTGCTGAGATTAAAGGCATGCACTACCATGCCCAGCTTATTGTCTTGTTTATTTTTAAATATTATAAAAAGGACAATTTTATTTAACACCAGCTTTCTTTCATATATGGTAAGGTGTTCCAACACTCTTTGGAGACTGCATGAACCTTTTCACGCCAGAAGGGTGCACTAAATATACACAGAAAGCGAAGTGAACGCCCCCTTTCTGGTTTATACACTGCCCTCTAATATGTTACCCTTCAGTGTTCAACTATATCCTGTGTTCAGTACAAAACTAATGACACAAAAATATGCCAATTATCTTGGAAATATAGCACTTTATTTCACTTCAAAGTCAATTTGTTTTGTATATCTATTTCATATATGCTACTTTAAATGTGGTTAACCTGTTTGTCTGTTTGGAGACAAGAGTCTTACTATGTAGCTCTGGCTGAACTGAAACTCACTAAGTAGTCCAGGCAGATATCAAACTCAAGGCAAGCCTCCTGCCTCTGACTCCCAAGTGCTAGGATTACAGGCATGTACCAACAACTCCACAAGTAAGTCAGTTTTAAACAATTGCCATGAAGCTGGGCGTGGTGGTGCACGCCTTTAAACCCAGCACTTATGGGGCAGAGGCAGGCAGATGTCTGTGAGTTTGAGGCCAATCTGGTCTCCATAGCGAATCCAGGCAGCTGTGACTACAGCAAGACCCCATTGCAAAAAAAAGACCACCCCCTACAAAAAAAAAAAAAAAAGAATTGCCATGAGAACCCACAAAACACATTGGGGTGCAGTATGGAGCTGTGCTGTATAGCTTTAGTGTCAACTTGACACACCTGGGTTGAGGGAGCCTCAGTTGGGGAATTACCTCTATTGGACTGGCCTGTGGCCATGTGCTGGGGCTGAAGAATCAGCTGTGATTAAGAAGCGACCAGAACCTGAAGTAAATCCTTCACTTTACTGGGACAACTGATGCTGGTTAGCTGGGGCTGAAAAACCAGCTGTAAGTAACAAGAGACGAGTATCACTATGGTGAAATCTTCTGGGAGATAGTTCCTCAGGGTCAGCACACAGAGGAGACTTGTGCCTCCATCTCTAGCTGTGTTGGGGAACCCTACTGTTAAGGTTGACTCCTTTCTCAGCAGGGTCTTCCTGTTCTCTGCCTGACCATGTCTGGAAAGTGTCTCCAAGCACAGATGCCTGTCCTTATTTGGAACATGATGTTTGGCATAGTTACTGGCAATAAATTGCCCCCAGGTTTTTTTCTATATGATAATTAGGCATTGCCCTATAGCCAGATGATAGGATCCCCCTACCACATGTAAATAAAGCATACTATGAGCACCTATCATGTAAAACTTTGGCTGCTGCCTCCACCCTATATTTTTCCCTGACCCCCCCCCGACTGAATAAATGAGCTGTATCATTGAAACTGACTCCCGGAAGTTCTTTTCTGTCCATGCTCACTGGCCATCCTGACCCCGTTAGTCACTTCTGCTCCCTTTGTTCTCGTGGGTCAGTGGCCAACAGCCCACGAGGGGAGGAAGAGACCCACATAGCTGGAAGCAGGACTTGGTAATGTGTAAGAGTTTCCTGCATGTTTCTGGTGTTGAAAGCATGAAGGGGTCACAGAGAACAGCTGAGGCTTGGCACTCCAAGAGGCCAGGAAAGGCATGAGTGAAAGTGCCACTTCAGTTGCAGTGGAGACCCCAGGATTGAAGGAGTCATGGAGAGAATATAAGGCTTTACACCCCAAGAGACAAGAGGCTGTTCGTGAAGGTGCAACATCAGTTTCGGTGGAGACCCCAGCTTTTTGGACATGCCGTGACCATGGGACGACCACCAAGAACAGCAGTAGGTGTGGAATGGAGCTGGCCTGGGTCTGCAAGATGAGCTGAGTGTGTTGTGGATGGCAAAGTCAGGGCAGTGGAGCTGCCAGTACCCTTTGGAGGCCAGAAGATCGTGAGTGAGTCCCAGATGTCCAGGTATGTGTTTGGATTTTTTAAGGACTAGGTTTTGCTTAGGTGTGCCCGATTCTTCCCTTTGAAATAAGACAGTACTTGTTTCGGATTTTACAGGAGCCCCCAGTTAAGAGACTTTTAAAAGAGACTGTGTTTAGATTTTTTTAAGGACTATTGGTCTTTTAAGGTTGTACTGTCTTATGTCGTGACAATAATGTTAACATCATATCTTAGGGATAGAAATTGGAAAGTTATGGTTTAATAGTGATGTTTGTGTGTCAAGTTGACAAGGGGTCAATTGTGCTGGATAGCTTTAGTGTCAACTTGACACACCTGGGTTGAGGGCGCCTCAGTTGGGGAATTGCCTCTATTGGACTGGCCTGGGCCGTGTCTGAGGGGCTAAGTGAGAACCACATGAAGGCTAAGTGAGAACCGGGGTTTGACACTAGGTCCCTATGACTACAAAATCAAGTTTTCCCTGCATACTGTTGCAACGAAGAGTAAGAAAACACTTTCATCTTACCCATAGTCGTCTATCAGGTGAGAGCCAAGTACCACCACATCAAGTTCGAAGAACTCGGGTTCCGTTTTAATACCAAACATGATTGGGGCAAGCTTAGAATAATCAGCACGGTTGCAAGTAGCAACGCAAACCCGAAGCTTTCGGTTATTCCCATTCTTCTCCATGATGTGCTTTTTCTGATTTGAGAGTTTCTTAAAATAGAGTTCCTGAAGTTGCAAAAAATAAAAACAATTGTTTGTAATTAGATTAATTCCTAGCTATAAAAATAGAACTGTTCTCTATCATTTAGTATAGTGGTCTGGCATTTTTTTCCACCCTTTTTCTGACACACTCATGGGAACATCAAGTTATGAAATTCTAGCAGATTGACGAGAACTCCACCCTTTTCTCTCACTTGACACTGGAATGCAATTAAGAAGTAACATAAATTAACTTTCATTTAAAAGATGAACAGACTCAGCTCTTTAATTATTAGTTTAGCAGTACTTACTAAAACTAAACAATACTTGCTGTACCTCCCAAGTGAGCCCAACAAAGAAGACTGTCATAAAATTCTAGTAAACTATTCCTTAACTCCCTTATTTTACAGAAGGGCAAAAAACAGGTCCAGAGAGAAGAAATTACGTACCCAAGATTCCAGATCATACTTCAAAGAACACAGTCTCTGGGCTGGAGAGATAACTCAGTCACTAAGGCTCAGGCTCACAGTCTCCTGAAGAGCAGTCTTTTCATCCTCATCCTACACATTCCCTTAAATAAAAGCACTGAGCTTGGTGCTGGGAAGAGAAAGATGGGTAGGAGAGGCCTCATCTGCACCTGCACACCACTGCCTACAAAACTCTCAACTCCAAACACCTGCCAAATGGCTCCTGCTGCGTGTCCCATAGGCACCTGAAAGTTGATGTCCCAAACTGAGCTCATTTTCTCTTCTGAACCTCCTTTCCTTGTTTGTTCTTAAACTCAATTGTATACTACCACTCACCCAAATGCCCTGATATCTTGTCTTTTCTGTTCCTCACCAGTACCTCCTCAGCCCTGTTAGTTTAACCCCTGAAAATTTTTCAACTGTCTCCTCCTCTTGATCTCACCAGAACTCCCCTCATCTAATCTCTTGGCTTGGGTTTGAACTGCTCAAACAGTGGTCAAAGTGGTGAGCCTGTCTAGTTCTGCCCTTCTCCTACAAACTTTCAAAGTGATGCCTTGAAGTTCGCAGATCTGATCATCACATTAACCAAGATACTGTACTATGGGATAAAAATCTAAATTGCTAATCTGGAACTCATCTATTTTTTTTAAACATATCTCTCCTACCTACAATTACATTATGTGTCAAAGCACCAACATATCAAAATGCCCACAGTTCAACGAGTAGATTTTTGCCGTTTAGAAATGTAAGTACCTCTGCCCAAGATTTCCTTTCCCCTTTGCCTGAGTTTCAAAGTTCAGACAAGTGTCACCTCTTCTAGAAATGCTTCACATATTCTCAGGTCCTTCTTGCCCTGTCCCTTAGTTGTTCACCTTTCTCTTGGTACTATACACAAAAATGGTCTTGTTCGGCTCCTCTGCTCACCCATTTCCCCATCTGCCCCCATGCTGTTCCCTCCACTCACAAAGCCAAAATCAGGGCAAGACATACTTGTTTTATGGACCTTTCAACTTCTCTCTACATGCCGGGTATGGTGATGTACCTCTGTAATCCCAGCACTTGGAAGGCTGAGGAAGGAAGATCCAAAGATCTTGAGTTGGGGGCCAGCTTGGGCTACATGACAAGACATTTCAGGAAGAAGAGGGCAAAGAGACAAAGGGAAAGAAGGAGACCAAGCTGCAAGGAAGAGATGGAAGGAGGGATATGTTTTATGGAACATTTTAAACTTCCCAATATCAACATCCCAAGTTTCACCTCATGAACTATGATCTCAGTGCTTAGTTTCAGGGAACACGTCAATATTTAGAAGTTGAAGTATGAATTCTGAGAGCTTGTGTAAGGAGTGGTGCTGCCCTCAAGCTCTTGGGCTATCCCATTAGAAGTCCTCTTCTGTTGGTACATCATCTACTCACCATCATCATAGAATTTCCTAACCATGCAAACTGCCTCACCATGAGGTCCATTCTGAAAAGTACAATTCCCCAGTAAAGACTAATTCCACCCAATGAAAAGCACTTGTAAGATAATCCAATGAGTGTTCTGCCAAGAGTCTAAAGTACTACCCAATCATTAGACAAACTATTCTTCCAAAATGGCTATCGTAAGCATTCTTGTATATGATCCTCCCTACACTGATGAATTGTGAGCTGATGAAACCTGGTGATATTTAATTTGCTGGGTGAGGCAAAGCAAATCATTGATGGTTGGTCAATTTCTATTTATTTTACAAAGAACAATAAACTTTCCATCTGGCAGTGCTTAGTATTTACCAAGTTATTTAACTGTTGTTCTACCTAAACCTGTTCCTTTTTAAAGTGAAAGGTTTTTTTAAGGAAATAAATTAAATCTTAAAATAGTATCTTTTTTTTTTTTTTTTTTTTTTTTTTTTTTGGTCTTTTTGATACAGGGTCTCCCTGTAGCCCCAGCTGTCCTGGAACTCACTATGTAGACCAGGCTGGCCTTGAACTCACAGAGATCCACCTGCCTCTGCCTCCCGAGTGCTGGGATTAAAGGCATGCACCACCATACCAGGCAAAATAGTATCTTTTTAAGAGAAGGATTTCTTAAATTTTTGAATATAACATTATTTTTTGTTTTATAAATATTTTATATTTAAAATAGTTAATATAAAATCAGATAATATGTACCTTCCAATTCATGACAATTCTCCTGTCTCAGCCTCTGGAATAGTGGATTATAGACATGCACCATCACACTGATTGGTTTGAATTACAGACATGCACCATCACACCTGGCTTGATTTCTTGTGTATCCTTCTATGTATACATATTTATTTATAAATACATATGTATTATCCAATTGTTAACATTTTACAAACTGTTGCTGTAGTCTTTTTATATACTTGTAATTATATTTCTGAATTACATGGGAAAGTGGAAAATTTTAAAGGCAATGGAAATACCAAGCCAAATGTACAGAGTATCAGCTTTTCAAATATTGAAGGGTTATGAGAACCAAACCACTCATTGCCACAAGCACCTGCTAAGTGGTCTGTGCAGAGCACTGTACAGAAAACTGAGAGCCATGGAGCTGAGAAAGATCTAGAGTCTGATTTTAGGAACTTACAGTGTGGAACATGGCCCCAGACCCCAGCTATTTTGCTTTCCCAAACAGAAGCATCAGAAGCTAAAGACTTAAAAGAATCCCAAAAACTCTATTTGTTATGGGTAAAC